AGTCTGGCTGCTGCATTCTGCACCATCTGAAGTTTCCGTATCAACCTCAAAGGTAGCCCCACGTAGAGCGCGTTGCAGTGGTCTAATCTTGAGATTACAAGCGCATGCACTAAGGTAGTGAGGGCCCCCGTGTCGAGATAGGGCCGCAGCCTGGCAATCCGCCAAAGATGGAAAAAGGCGGAGCGGACCACCGACGCCACCTGTGTTTCCATGGTAAGCGTCGGGTCCAGGTGTATGCCCAAGCTGCGGACCCCACTCACCGGAGTCAGGGTCGCCCCCCCAAACGAGAGAGAGTCGACCAAGCCACCAACCACGGGGGGCCCCACCCTCAGGACTTCCGTCTTGTCCGGGTTCAGCCTCGGGCCATTCTCCTGCATCCATTCCAGTACGGTTCCCAGGCAGCGCTGAAGGGACAAGACGGCATCACCTGCAGTTGGTAAAAAGGAGATGTAGAGCTGGGTGTCGTCAGCATACTGGTGACACGATGCTCCACACCCCCTGATGACCCCAGCTAGCGGCCTCATGTAGATGTTAAATAGCATTGGGGAGATAATCGACCCCTGTGGAACCCCACAATTGGAGCTCCACGGGGCCGAGACACTCTCCCCAAGCTGAACTCTCTGGGGACGATCCTCCAAGAAGGAGCGGAGCCAGGCTAACACCAGGCCACCGATTCCTAACTCAGAGAGTCTCCATGAAAACGACAGTGAAAACGACAGTGAAACTATGAAGGTGCTGGCTGGATAACTCAGTTATAACTTTGAGTATCTGGCTAAGAAGCCAGAGGGCAACCATTTAATTCCCTGCTGTGCCTCCTAGGAGAAGAACCTATATGACACTGGGCAAGCTGCTTAGTGGTCCCACAGAACGGCAAGGAGAGAATGACCAAAAAATTCTGAGTACTCTATATCTTGAAAACTGTATCTAAGAAAAGTTGCTATACATTAGAATTGCCTTGAGAAAGAAAGGAGTAATATATTAACTGAGCTGCCGGAATAAATTTAAATAAAATACAATGGTGCCTTGACTTACAAACGCCCTGACCTACAAACATTTTGAGTTACGAACAGCTCTGGATGCGGAATATTGCTTTGGAGTTACGAGCAAAGTTTTGACTTCCAAACGAAAAAAATCTTTCCTCCCTTTTTTTGACAAGTTCATCTTAGGTCAAAAGAAGAAAAAAATTAAAAATTCCCCCCCTAGTAGTAGAGTATGGATTAACCAGCTTTGCATTAGTTCCTATGGGAACTAATGCTTTGACTTACGAACTGTGCCTTGACATAAGGACAAAAAACAGCCAGAACGGATTAATTGGTTTTCAATGCATTCCTACGGGAAATGCTGCTTTGATTTACGACCATTTTGACTTACGGTCACCATTCCAATACGGATTAAGTTCGTAAATCAAGGCACCACTGTATGAGAATAGAGAATGAATGCAAAGAGCAGAAAAGAGGAGCATAGTGAAGAAACATATGGCCATACAAAAATGTATTGTAGTAGACCAGTGGTCTCCAAACTTTTCAGCGTGAGGGCCACATCAAACATACTTCACATTTTTGAGGGCCGAAAGACCATGCCTGCCCGCACTCCCACCCACATGCATGTCCTACCTAAGCCTATGACGTTCGCTGGGCTGAATAAAAGGTAAGGCAGGCCGGATGTCGCCCACAGGCCATACTGTGGTGCCTCGCTAGACGATTACCTCGCAAAATGGTTTATTCACAAGATGATGAGTTTTTGCGATCACTATAGCGCTTCGCAAAACGGTTTTCCCTATGGACGATTTTCCCTGGATGATGTTTCGGTCCATGCTTCGCAAGACTTTTTTTGGGGGGGGGGACCATTTTTTGCAAGACGATTTTGACAGCTAGGTCCGCGCTTTGCAAAACGGGTGTTTTTGGAACCGTTTTCCCAAGACGATTTTGACAGCTGATCCGCGCTTCGCAAAATGGTTCCTCTATGGGCGATTTTCGCAAGACGACAACTATTTTCCCCATTGGAACACATTAAATGGATTTTGACGCATTCCAATGGGGAAACACATTTTGCAAGACAAAGTTTTTGCAAAACAGCGATTTTTGCAGAACGAATCAACATCGTCTTGCAAGGCACCACTGTAGCTTGGAGACCCCTGTAGTAGACAAAGAGGTGAGAACATGAAAGAAGTATAGGTTTTACAAAGAAGAAAGCAAAAAAGTTTAGCAACTGAGTTGAACACCTGAGGGACAGGCAGAGAGAGACATTTAAGATATTAAGAACTCATCTGTATCCAGACACTGAGTTCTTATTAAAATATATATATAATTGAGAAATCCACAGATCAACTGTGATTTAGAGTACAGTGGTGCCTCGCATAGCGAGGTTAATCCGTTCCGGATTAACCTTCGCTATAGCGAAACATCGCTAAACGGAATAAAAAAAGCCATAGAAACGCA